GCGCCCGGCCCGGCCGCCCGGCCCCGCGCCCGCATCTACCTGCTCAGCGTGACCTTCTGCAGCAGCGTGGCCTTCGGCAACCTGGGCCTCAACTACGTGCAGCTGGACGTGGCGCAGATGGTCTACACCACCACGCCGCTCTTCACGCTGCTGCTCTCGGCGCTGCTGCTGCGCCGCCGCCACCACGCGCTGCAGTACGCGGCCATGGCGCCCGTGTGCGCCGGCGCGGCCTGCAGCATCCTCAGCGAGGTCCAGTTCCACCAGGCCGGCTGCTGCTTCCTCTTCGCCGCCACCTTCCTCCGCGGGCTCAAGTCCATCCAGCAGAGTAAGTGCCGCGCGCGCTGGCCCGGGCACCCGGCGCTGCCTCCTCCTGTGCAGGCTGGCGGGTACCATAGCGGGGTCCCCAGTGCCACCTCCTGCCCTCCCCAGCCAGTCCAGTGGCATCCCAGCCCTGGTGCCACCACTGTCCACGTTGGCKTTAGTGCCAGCACAGTGTTTTCACGGTCCCAGGGCCACCTTGTGCCCATTCTGGTACCGGTGTCACCCCAGTGCTGCCCTAGTCCCAGGGTCACCTCCTTGGCACCCCAGCCTTGGTGTCAATCCATGTCACCCCAGCCCTGGTGCTACCACTGCCCATGATGGTCTTGATGCCAAGACAATGTCTTCCTGSTCCCAATGCTGCCCCATGCCCCGGTGCCAGCTCAGCCCCAGTGTGACCCACTGTGCACCCTGGCCTCGGTGCCACCCCTTCCCACACCGGTGACGCCTCCTTGGGGCTGGACCCTGCCCCTGGAACGAGGTGGTGGGATGAGCAAAGGGCCTGGTGCTGAACCATGGGTGCTGCTGGCTCCTTGTGCTGCCGCAGGTGCCACTCCCTCTGGCTGGGGCCACGCGGGACGGCCGGGGAGCAGAGTGGCCGCCCGGGCCGCGCTGTCCTTGGCAGGCGGCGGAGTGGAGCCGGCTGCTTTGTTCAGCGCTCCRAAAGGGAACGTTTCCTTCGCAGCCTGGCAGGCCGCAGGCAGCCGCGGTGCCCCGGGCGCTGCTTCGTGCCCGCTGTGACTCAGCCCTGGGGCACCCACCACCCCCGAGCCCCGGGGCGCCCTGCAGACCCCGCCTCTGGGCAACCCGGCTCGGCACCGAGCTGTTGCTGTGGGGGCACCGCAGGCTCGACCCGCTGCCCAGCGGCCACCCGGCTGCCGGCCCTTCCTGCAGCCCCTGTCCCCCATGTCCCGCTGTCCCTCAGGAGGACACGGAGCGCGGCCGCCGGTTCTGGGACGCGTGTGGGCTCCATGCGGCGGGGGGTCCGCGGGCCCCTGGGCGTGCGCGTGTGTGGGCAGCTGTGCCCGCGTCCCCGGATGTCTCCGATGGGGGAACACCGGCCACACACGGCTGCAAATTCAGGCCAACGAGGGGTGGCGGGGGAGAGGGGGGAATGAAGGGGGAATAAAGGGGCGTTTGCCCCAAGTGCCCTTGGCCGCAGACAGGGTGGTGCAGACAGCGGCCGCAAGCCCTGCCCGTGTGCGTCACCCCCGGCCAGGGCGGCGCRGGTGTCACTGAGCCGGGCAGCGGCTGCTCCCTCCCTCCCTCTCTCCCTCCCTCTGTTTTGATCTTCCTCCTCGCGGGGATGCTGGTGATTTCTTAACCGCTTCAGCACCGCGCGCGGGCGGCGGAGCTCCCTGCGGTGCTGGGTGGGCTGCGCGTGCGCCAGCGGAGCCGGGGACGCTTGGCGAGCGGCCAGCCGGGCTGCGCGGGGCGGCACGGGGGAGCGCGGRTGCACGTGCCGGCTGTGCCCGTGGAGTGTGCGTGCTGCACACGTGTGCGTGCCRGCGCGTGTCTGTGCACGGGTGTGCCCTGCGGCCGTTCCCTCGGGCGCTGGCAGGGCTCCGGGCACGCTCCTGGGGGTCCCGCCTGCTCCCGGCCCCGCCGCGACCCTCCGCCTCTCCCCGCAGGTCTGCTGCTGCAGGAGCACAGGCTGGACGCCCTCTCCTTGCTCTGCCTCACGTCCTTGCCCAGCTTCTGCATCCTGTTCAGCGCGGCCGTGGCGCTGGAGGTGGGCCCGGCCTGGGCGGGCGTCCTGCGCTACGACAGCACCCTCTGGGCCTACGTGCTGCTCAGCTGCCTCGGCTCCGTTCTCTACAACCTGGCCAGCTTCTGCGTCATCTCCCTCACGTCAGCCCTCACCATCCACGTGCTGGGCAACTTCAACGTCGTGGGCAACCTGGTGCTGTCCCGGCTGCTCTTCGGCAGCCAGCTGAGCGGCCTCAGCTACGTGGGCATTGGGCTCACGCTGGTGGGGATGTTCATGTACCACCAACCGGACTACATCGCTGCCCGCTGGGCATCGTGGCACGGCCGGGCCCGGCGCAAACGGGAATAGGTCCCGTGCACGGGGTGGAGAGCTGCCGTTGCGAGTGCCGCGGGAAGCCACAGGGTTTCTTGCACCCTCTTGCACGTGCAAGAGGGTTTCTGTGTGTGCGCCGCTCTGCGTGTGCCCAGGCTCCGCGTGGGCCGGGGCTGCCGAGCGCGGCCAGCGCGTGCAGGCCGTGTGCGTGGGGTGTGCGTGGGGCGTGCGCACAGCYCGCGGGCCCGCCTGGGCGAGTGGGGGTCCGTGCACAGGCGCTGCGCGGACCAGCGGGTGTGTGTGTGTGCGCAGGGTGACTGTGCGTGCGGCGCCGCTGCCCGAGGGCTCTGCAGGTGCGTTTGTGTGTGCAGGCAGCTGTGCACACGCGTGGCGCCGTGCGCCCGATTGCTGTCCCCCCCGGGAAGGCACGGAGCGGCACGTGTCCACGGACGTGTGCGGGGACGAGGGTGCGCGCGCACGTGCCTCACTGCTGGGCTCTGCTGGAGGGGCTGAACCCGGAGTGTGTGCCCAGCTCCGTGTCTGTGTTTGCTGTTCACTCCCGAGGGGCGTCCCGGCGCATCMAGGCTGAGGCGGGAGGTCAGCGGCCTCCTCGGAGGTCAGCGCAGCCTCCTCGCAGGGCTGAGCGGCCTCTTGTGCAGCCGGGCACCTGGCCCAGGGCCCAGGGAGCATCCCCAGGTCCCTGACCCCTCTGTGACGTCCCGAACCCCAATGATCCCCACACTGATCCCACGGCACCCCAGTCCTGGGGCTGCTGGTGTCCCGGATGGAGCCTCCTGGCTGCCACAGCTCCGGCCTCGCAGCTCCCGCCAGGACCAGGAAGGGCCTCGGGCACCGGCTCTCCGGCGCTGGTCCTCCCTGACCTCCCAGCTGCTGCCGCTGCGCAGGCGCGGGCAGAGGTCCCGGGTCACCTGCTCGTACGGGGGCTCGTCCTGGAGGCTGTGGGGACGCAGCAAAGCCATGGGGATGTCTCAGGCCGCCCTGCCGCCGCGTCCAGGAGCTTCCCTCTCCGTGCA